CCAATGGGTGGAAGCTAATTCTAAAATTTCAACAAAAAGCAAAAATAAAATCCCGAGGGCATCGTAGTATCGTACCCCTTATTTACGTTCGGATCGGATTTTAACGGGATTCGAAGAAAAAAAATCTACATCAACTCACTTTTGCGGTTTTTTAAATGCGCAAGTTTTTTACTGGAATCTAGGAAATATGTTTAACTTCACAGGCTTTGCCATTTTAAAGAAATAGTCCGAAAATTCATCTTAGGACACAGCTAAAAGACAGATTCGCCCAAAAAAAAATCCGAACATAAATCCGAACACTTTAAAAAATCCGAACATATATCCGAACGCTTTAAAAAATCCGAACATAAATCCGAACCCGTTTAAAAAAATGACAGCCCTTAAATCCAAAACCCTTTTTATAAAAAATCTTGTTCGTTGATTTCGAAACCCTGAGGCCTGAGGTGAGTAAGACCATAGCGGCATAGTCTTTGTTTCAATTTAGAAGGCTATGGTATTCAGTTATACAAAAATAAGATTTCAGATTTAGAAGAAACTAAATATTGGAAATAGGATCTAAAATTCCTCCGCCTCAAGTTTTAAATTCCAACTTGTATTGTTTTTTTCCTTGTCGATTTCGTGATTTTCGTCACGTTTCGTGTATCGGGCTCAGGCGCTCAGCCCACCCGAGTTACCACTCACCACTGTCACCAGTCACCAGGAAGCACAACGCCCCACAACCATTAGTTATCACATACTATTTTACTATGTCATTATCCAAAGCTGATGACAGTGATAATTTTGGCTTTTCTAAAGAAAATTCAGGGTATTTACAATGAAGTGTACAGCGTCATACATCGTAAAAAAAATCACTGCTGTACTTTAATATCAGCCTTCTGACGCCCCAATTATATCAAAGACACCGCACGACTACTACGATTCCCAAACATGCTAGTGCAACTATCCAAGCTATCCGAATCTAGACACAAAGGGATAATTCTTACCATCGTGTACTCGTCTCTCTCTCTCTCTCTTTCTCTCTCTCTCTCGGAAGCTTCGTCAAAATCTTACAATCAGTAACATTACTGCTATTACAATGTGGGACCTTCACATCTTATTGAAGAACAATACTCTTCCTGTTCTTATCATATCGCTAAGCCAATCGACATTGCCGAAGCATTCACATACGTGCACAACCTATCAGAATTTGGTCCCACCGTTGTTGTAAACTATAGGTAGACGCAAAGGGGGGGTATTGAGGTACACTGAGTACACTCATATCACATTCAAACCCAAACAAGGTTTTCATGTCCAAACTTTGTTTTACACAAATCCGTGACAATCGAATTGGCTTGAATATTACCAAAAACTATTCTCACTCTCCGCACAAAACATATTATAACTTATATTACTTTGCTATATTCATTTTTTCAGTTCTTCTCGTGGTCAAAATGACAAAATAGTATTTTAAAGAACGTCAGTACCTGGAAGTCGGATATTTAGTAGTGAGATGACTAGAGCGGTGTCCTTAGTGAGTTCCATTGTAGCTTTACATTGGGTAGATATGGAGTGAATCCATGAAATTGGCATCGAGTTGGCTTTGAATTGGCTTCAAAATTGAATTGTTTTGTCAGTCATCAGTTTTGTCGCTACCCTGGTTTCTCATATTGACTACAGCAGCGTAGCTTTGTGTTGGCTTGGCATGTCCTCATAGGCCATGCCTCGTGGTGCCTTTTTGTTCGCGATAATTATTTCACAGTTGGTCAGTACTCAGTGGTCATAAAATTTTACATATGTATTCATACTTTTATGATGTTTACACATCGTGGAAGTTAAAACCCCCCTTTATAGATCAATGAAAAAGCTTCACGTCTTTACCTATTGTAGCACACACAAAATCGACTTTCCAAGACTCCAAATCTCTATTGAGAGATGTATAGGGCATAGCCGCAAGGCTCATACTACAATATGTAGTCCTGACCAATATCCATTACCTACAGACTTTTTATTAAAGAAATTGCTTAATTTTCAGAAGGCTATGAAAAATTATTGTATCTATGTTCAGTACATTTTGACTGTATTTATGTATTCAGTATTGTGTACATATTTGATTTTGTCTTCATTACGTCATGGTATTACAGTATATTATTATTTTTTAAATACGTTCCAAGCTCAACGCTATGTACTAAATAAATATTCACATAAATGTAACGGAATCTTTTCTGCACGTTTTGTTATTTGTTTTTATAAAAAAAAGGCCCCGGCTGAAAATCGGACACAATAGGTGGGATGCCCAACTTCCCAATTCCCATACGGCCACACATCATGTGTCAACTGTCAACTGTCAAGGTGCCATAAAGCGCATAACAAGAAAGAGGAGGACCCTTTTTAAAAGAAGGCATAGCATCAGATTCAGAGATTTCAGACTTTCGGAATCGCCCGGGGAGTATGTACTGTGTTAGTCGAGAGTTGAGAGCCGAGACTATAAAAGAGTAAAGGCTTGAGAGCTACATACATCACGTGTCGACTGTCAAGTGTCAAGTGTTCACCAATAACCATAAAGCATACAACCAGAAAAGAGGAGGACTCTTTTTTAAGACCCCCAGAATGTTGGGTTTGGCAGTGGGGTATTAATTGTAGACATAGCAGCGGCGTATGCGAGACGGAGAATGCACGCCGAATGTTTAGTTATATACATAAATAGTCTACTACTCTCTCTCTTTGTAGAGAAGCTTTATATAATAGTTGTATTTTCTTACAAAAAGAACAAAATATAAACAAAATAAACGGATACAAATCTAAAACAAAACATATGTATGTACATCAGATCGGTCAGACTCGGTGAGTCAGTCCCCAGTCCCCACTCCTCACTGGGCCGACAATGACCGACGATTTGCTTTTCTTCAGCTTCGCAAGGCGTATATTGCCGAATACTTCGCATCGTTCAAATTATTGCTGGTTACAATAGATATGGTTTGCGGATTATATGACGCCAGGTTGCAAATATACTTTTGGCTTGCATTTATGTCTGTAGCACGCGAGTTGTGTGGTGGCTATCACTTCATTGTGCATCTCGGCAGCTTAAATCCTTATTCAATACATTTGGTGTATTTGGGAAGCTACAAAAGGGATCCGACACATTACGATTTAAGGCATAGCATCTTTAATGAGAATCGCATTCACGACATATAGAAACAGTAATTTCGATTGGCTAATCTTGGCTTTTTCTGTACGTTCTTACTTCAGCTCAAGATGGATTCATGACAATAGCACGCACGATCTCGAAAATAGTATTTCATCAGATATGTATGTTCATGCATTCTCCCGAAGAACAATCCTAGCAGAATCCGAGGTATACAGAGCTCAGATCCGAAAATCATTGGTGTAGAGTTGCAGCGGATGGGGCTTTAGACTCGCCCACATAATTCAAGATTGCAAGACATATATTATACGTTCCGGGCTCTAAACAAGCATAAGTCGAGTAGAAATGTATGTGAAGCACGTGGTTCGAACATACAGAGCATATTGTCAACAATTCTTTCGAGTTTGACAAGCACACCATTCAACCATCCGTCTAACCTAAAAGCCTGCCTGCCAGCTCCTCCTTATTTATTCGCTTATCCGCAGCATGTGTCCCAAATAAAGAAGTACGAATATTCAGTACGCTTGTATCCAGTTGTTGTATTTGATATAACACTAAGTTCTGCCATTGACATCTATAAAAAAAATAAAGGAGATAGAAGGCTATGCTTCTGTGGGCATTTTCTTATTTCTGAATACATAAATCAACAAAGTGTTGTTTTTTAAATACCGGGATAAAGGGAGGTTAGAGCGTTGTGTATATACTAGAAGACTGGAATTGCTGAAAAGACTATGAAGACTCTTTGAGTCGTATCCCAGTATGGTAGCTTACTCTGTGTGTGCGTGTGTGTGTGTCTCTCTCTCTCTCTCGCTACTACTATATACTAGTCGACATTGTAAGGGTACGTGTGTGACAGATACTGATAGTGTAAGAAGGAAAGTCACTGCAAAGTGAAACACTGAAAACGATCGGTGACACCCTAACAGGTCCCAATTAGCTCGTCATTATCGATTATCAACAAAAGATAACAATAAAAAACACGCACAGGCCACAGCACCACAGCACTAATATATAGTGAATACTACTTAATTAAAAGCTCAAAAAATGAACAAAGAGTATACTGTACAAAGCTATATCACGCAAAAGAACAGAAATTACTTCTATTATATATTACACAAAGAATATAAGATACTTTTATTATATAGTATAAGAGTCGACCTGACTTTTGAAAGGCTGACAATCCCAAAGGCCGCAACTTGAAGCCAGTGTTCTGGTGCTAATATATTTCCAAATATGTAGCGTGTGCGTGGATTCCGCTTACAGGTAAGAACCAAATGGCGAACGAAAGTGAATAAGTAACATGCTGATGCCATAAACTCTTAAAGTAACAACACAATGTGAACTAGTTGTTTAGACCCAAAAAAGAAGGCAGGTGAAAGGCCTTGGGCCCAGTAAAAATCGTAGGCAACGAACGAGCATTTATTTATTCTTATATATTGTTTTATACTTTATAACCTGTGTTTTCAAGCTGTGACTTTAAGCTGTGACTAGATAACTGTTTATGTAAATATTTGTACAGCGTGAGTGCAAAGGCATCCTCAATTCCACATCCAAATGAGGACCGAAGAATGATTTAAAATTACATGTTAAAAAAAATTAGCGCCTCAAAGTGGCAAAAAATGTACACTGTCTGACTGATCTTAAAACACGAAATGTGGTTAAAAAAAAACAGGTCCTACCTCGGCGATAAACGCCTGCTGCGATCGATCATGTCTTGTATGTCTTTTTAAAAATACTGATGTTCTAAATTATTTTCAGTATAATAGAACGCTCATCATTTATATCGGTAATTTAATCATCGCCCAGGCCGATGTTTAATTTCAACTTATATTTTACTCATCGTTATTCTTGTCTAAATTGATGCAGCAAGCCATTTAAATTGATACAGGAAGCCATTCGCTTCAATGATTTATTATCATTTGTGATTGTGAGGGTAGACAACTTGTCTATCGCCTAAACATCTCACATCTAGAGTTTTATGCTTTAAATGCTGCACAGGAAGTGGAGAACACACCAGCGAAATTCTGGTGCTACTATCAAACCTAATTAAATGTGACTAAAAATAATAGTGAATCCAGTATTATCTTCTATCAGCTCGGTGCTTCTACAAATATTCACGTATATCATCCAAATGTGAACTATAACTTGCGTTTTGACACGACCTAGTCATTCCTGCGTGCGCCAAACGTCTTCTTGTAACTATGACTGTGGCCGTCATGGGAGTATTGCAAGGGGTTCACCCTCATAACACAGCGGGACCATTTACCTGCCGATTAGGGGAGGTGATTGAGCAACCTCTTGCTTACGCGGGATAACACCTCCGGGTAAGGGGAGCGTGGTCCAGCCCGTCAAGTCCAAATCGATCTGTCGAGCGGCTTGGCGTCCCTCACTGATAGCCCACACAATGAGTGATTGACCGCGTCGACAATCGCCGGCAGCATATAACTTGTCGACGGATGTTGAGTATCGACCAGCGGGTGTCTTAATATTGGATCTGCAATCGGATTTTAAATGTTTAGTTCATATTTTGGAAAACGGGTATATATTAACGAGCAGAAATCATCAAACCCGATATGCAGCAAATACATAACCGAAAGAGCAATACGAGCACACACCGGACAATAATACATACCGGGCATCAACGTCAGTGCCAAGTGCATCCTTCAGCGTAGCCTCAGGTCCCAAGAAACCCATCGCGATAAACACTAGATCGCACTCGTACGTTTCAAGGGAATCCGGTACCTCAGCCATCTTCCACGCACCCTTGTCGTCCTTAGTCCACTCCACCTTTACGGTGGTCACACCCTTGAGGTTACCCTCTCCATCACCCACAAACTCCTTGGCCATGATGTTGAACACACGGGGATCACGTGCAAACTTGGTTTCCACCTCAGAGTGCCCGTAGTCCACTCGGAAGATTCGGGGCCACGTAGGCCACGGGTTCTCGTCGGCACGCGAGGGTGGGGGTGGGGGTAGGATCTCGAAGTTGGTCACTCCAGTGGCACCCATACGTACACTCGTACCGATGCAATCATTGCCAGTGTCACCTCCACCGATGACCACTACCTTCTTTCCCTTCGCACTAATGGTCCAGTCCAGATCAGTCTTGGTTGAGTTCTGTGGTGGTTTTTAAAAAAAATGAGGTAAAATCCAGAGAGGGATGGCCAGGTGTTAAATTATGGACTATGATGGAGGACACTGTAGTATCTCTTATATCGGGCTCCGAAGCAGAAATGAATTTTCTTTTTACAGCTGAAAACTGAGCACAAAACATACCAGATCATCAATACCAGATCATCAAATCGTAAAACTAAAACCGTAAACCATGCGTGGTATATACACTACAATAAGACTCGATAGGCTCCCAAAAACAACAGCTATATCTATTCGCACTCACGCTCAGACAGGAGGTCAAGGTGAAGACTCAACACATACATATATACTCGACAAACTTCGAATATCCGACACACACCCAAAACGTGACACAGACATACCTCGTCCATGAGTTTCTTGGTGGTTGGCGTCAGGAAGTCCATGGCAAAATGAACACCGTTCAGTTCGCGTCCCGGGATGGGCAGATCTCGGGGCCACGTGGCACCCACAGTCAGCAACATGGCGTCTGAAGACGTCAACAGCTCCTTCGCGTCCACGTTCTTACCGATCTCGCAGTTAGTCTTGAAGGTGATGCCCTCAGCGGCCAGCAGGTCCACACGTCTCTGCACGGTCGCCTTCTCCAGCTTCATGTTGGGAATACCATACTGCAGCAGACCACCGACCCGGTCCTGTCTCTCGTACACGGTGACGGTGTGTCCCATCTTGTTCAGACAATCGGCCGCAGCCATACCAGCGGGACCTCCACCCACAATAGTCACCTTACGCCCAGTGCGCACCTTGGGGATCTGAGGCTTGATCCATCCCATCTCGAAACCTCGGTCGATAATGGCACACTCAATACTCTTGATGGCTACGGCGGGCTCGTTGATGCCAAGCACACACGCGCCTGTCAGTCAGGGGGGAAGTAGATAAAATCATGAGATGAGATGAGACAATGGTACATCCATACATTTCTGATTAACGCAATGAATACGCTGTACCACCAATTCGTCCCACCATTACACGTAAGTACCAACGGACAGACCAGCTGTGCGTATCAGTACACTTGAAATTGCTAACCAGCAAAAACACACCGTTAGTCGCTACACGCGACATACACGCGATAATTACGTACCTTCACAAGGGGCGGGACAGACCCGTCCAGTGAACTCCGGGAAGTTGTTGGTGAGCAGAAGACGCTCTAGCGCCTCCTCCCATCGGTTCTTGTACACAAGATCGTTCCATTGGGGAATGACATTGCCCAGGGGACATCCAGTATCTGACTGACAGAATGGTACACCGCAGTCCATGCAGCGAGCACCCTGGATGTTCAACTCGTTCTCCTTGAGACCCACACGGATCTCTTTGAAGTCCTTGATACGCTTATCGGGTGCACGGTAGCCGTCGGGTTTGCGCTTGTACTTCTGGAAACCACGCAGCTTGTCGAGCTTAGCCAGTCTGTGAATGTTGGGTGCAAGTGAGACGCCAGATGTTAGGAAGAGACGAGTGCAAGCTTTGTCATAAAATTTGATGATATACTCATACTAACATAAAACCACCGGGAATCTTCAACAACGGTACTTTTCGATAGACACTGGCCAAACGGCCAAGCCGTATTCAAAACACATACGCTTGTACAAAGCTGAACAACAAGACATACCGTGCGCGCTTCTTGTCCTCGCTCTCATTGTCGACAATGAAGTCCTCGATATCTTCAGTGCCAGCGTCCTTGATCTCCTCCACCTTCTTTAGTGTCTCCACATCAGCTACAGCGGTGGCCTCGGCCGCAGACTTAGCAGCAGCTAGAGCCGCCTTGTAGTCGTGGGGGAACACCTTGACGAATTTGGCGGGGCTGTTGGCCCAATCGTCCAACAGACGCTGGGCGACTGTTCGCGTATGCGTATGAGTGACAAATAAGTGGAAAGTTAGTGGATATCATTTTTGCTCGCTTTAAGTATGTAAACTCGAGACTTATTCCGAACCCCTTTTGCGTTAGTAAGGATAAAGCACTGGGGGGGTACCATGCACTGACTGAATTGAAAAGCCACAAACGAGAACACTACAAACATGCCATACCATCACTGCCGGTGTACTTAAGGTGCTTCTGCAGTACTCCCTGTAGGAATTCCAGGTCTTCTGGTAGTTCAACCGCGTCGAGCGAAACCAGCTCGCTGTTGACCATAGTACCGAACTGCTTGTTCTCATCAAGCACATACGCAATACCTCCAGACATACCGGCGGCGAAGTTGCGCCCGGTCTTACCCAGGACAACGGCGTATCCACCAGTCATGTACTCACAACCGTGGTCTCCAACACCCTCACACACAGCGGTGGCTCCACTGTTACGCACACAGAAGCGCTCGGCCAGGATACCTCTGAAGTATGCCTCTCCACCTGTGGCACCGTACAAGCACACGTTACCCGAAATGATGTTGTTCTCGGGTACGAATTCCGAGTGGTAGGGTCCAGGGCGCACAATAATACGTCCACCCATCATACCCTTACCGACGTAATCGTTCGTGTCACCAGTCACCTTAATCGTGATACCTGGGGCCAGGAATGCACCCAGGGACTGTCCGGCACTTCCGTTGAGGTTCAGCGTAATGGTGTCGTCGGGCAATCCTCCCTTTCCGTTCGACTTCATCACCTCGTGTGACAAGGTGGTGGTAAACGCTCGGTCCAAGTTGGTGATGTCCAGGTCATGGCTCATGGGGGTCTGGTTCTTGAGCGCGTCTTGGAAGCGTACGATAAGGTCGTTATCCTTGCGCTCGGCAAGTTCGTGGGCCTGGGCTTGTACGTTGTACGTGGCCGTGTTGGGTCGCAACTCGGTGGCACGCTTGAGCACAGGTGTCAGGTCAACGGTCTTGGCCTAAAACACGAAGAACATGGTATGATTAAGTATCGAATACAATTTTCTATTCTAATTCGATATATGGAAGAACCTTCAAAAACGGCAGATTATTGCTATACAGTATATTTTTTATCGCACTCCCAGATTCGCGCACCGTACAAACTTGATAAACAACCCCTCCTACATAGGAAAATATACATACAAAACTAGCCCAGGCAGGAAAAGGGGGCACAGTGGGTGAATATAGCCTACCTTGGGTCCGTGGGCGTGATTGTCCATCTTCAGCTTGTCCGTGCGACCAACCATCTCCTCGATAGTTCTGAGACCCAGAGACGCCATAATCTCGCGACAGTGCTCAGCCACCATGAAGAAGTAGTTGACCACGTGCTCGGGTGTTCCGGTGAACTTCTTGCGAAGCTCGGGATCCTGAGTGGCGATACCTACCGGGCACGTGTTCAGGTGGCACTTACGCATCATAGTGCATCCCATAACGATGAGGGGCACTGTGCAGTGAACAGGAAAGGGAGGCAAGGCTGTGATTAGAGACTAGCACAGGCATACCATACTACCATTGCGGCCTACTATCTACCATAGTCAATATTGAGATTAAATCCGAGCGTGGAGTGCCCAAAAACACAAATGAGTTGTTTCCAACAAACACCACCACACTACACACCTGTGGCAAATCCGAACTCTTCCGCACCCAACAACGCCGCAATGGCGACATCACGTCCGTGTCTGATTTGTCCATCGGCTTGTACCACAACCCGACCGCGCAGATCATTCTGAACCAAAGTCTGATGAGTCTCCGATAGTCCCAACTCCCAGGGTAGACCGGCGTACTTGATACCAGTCCATGAACTGGCTCCAGTACCACCGTCGTGACCGGAAATCAGGATGTGATCGGCGTAACCCTTGGCCACACCGGCGGCAACGACTCCAACTCCAACCTCAGACACCTATTAGTTTGTGTATGTGTGTACCAGATGAGTTGAATGCAAGCATTGCGTATAAAAAGTATCACTTTCCGAGTTTTCGAGTAGTCCAATGATTCTAATTGACTATGAGTAATACCGAAAATCAGCCAGTAGAAAGCACAATGACACCCGAGTACCTACCAGTTTGACACTGACACGAGCGGAGGGGTTCGCGCACTTCAGATCATAGATCAACTGCTTCAAATCCTCAATGGAGTAGATATCGTGATGCGGTGGGGGTGAGATCAGACCCACGCCTGGTGTCGAGTTACGACAGTCGGCAATCGACTGGGAAACCTTGAAGCCGGGCAGCTCACCTCCCTCTCCGGGCTTGGCACCCTGGGCCATCTTGATCTGAATCTCATCGGCATTGGATAGGTACCACGCGGATACACCGAAGCGACCACTGGCGACCTGGAGAGGCGAGAACAGAGCAGAGATTGGGATTAGTTGTGAGTGTGGGTCCGTTGTTGTCTTTGAATAATACTGATAACTGCTGTGACAACTCTGTAGCTGATAGTACTATTACGATATCTCTGTATACGCCTATGTAATGAGAGGTGACATTGAAACATGGTCGCAAAGAACAAGGACAAAGTGTTGATGCACAGGCCACATCGGCACATCGACAACCGACCTCACAAGATGCTACTCAGAGTTAGTGCGGACGAACACGAGTCGCAGACCTTCAGCAGACTCACTACGACCACAGCGTGTAGCTAACCCCAATCCATACATTAATATACCTGCTTGATAGCGCTACGCATGCTGTCACCATTCTCAGCCTTGGAATCGAAACGCGAGGCCTCCTCACCTCCCTCTCCGGTGTTGGACTTTCCGCCAATGCGGTTCAGTGCCACAGCAAGCGTGGAGTGAGCCTCCAACGAGATGGAACCGTACGACATGGCTCCGGTGCAGAAACGCTTGACAATATCCTCGGCAGGGATAACCTCTTCGATTGGGATCTTCTCCTCTTCCGTGATGTTGAACTCCAGCAGACCACGAAGCATACAGTTCTTGATCTGCTTGTCACTCTCGCGCACGTACTTCTCGTACGACTGCTTGTTGTTGCGGCGTGCGGCATCCTGGACACTTGCCACCACGTTGGGGTGGTTCATGTGGTCCTCACCACCTACGAATGTAAACAAAAACCATATATAAGTATCAGATAAGACGCATGTCCTGGTAAGATACGTGCATGTAATATGAAACATGTTTCGCACACCCCACTTTTGAGCCAGATGCAGTAGTATAATAGATCATCATAACATGGCAAAATACTATACATGTCCGATCTATCTCAGATAAGCTGCGTCTTACAACGACCACTACATGCACATACCGTCTCTCCAGTGGTAGTCTCCAGGGTTTTCGATCAGACGGCTCTCGACGATGTCATCACGCTCCAAGGGGAACGCAATATCGTGGCGTGAGAAGGCCTCCTCTGCCAACAGAGTGAATCCAACACCCTTGATACGCGACGCACAGTTGGTGAAGCAGCGATCAATCACCTCCTCGGCGATACCCACAGCCTCGAAGATCTGCGCTCCCTTGTACGACATGAGCGTGGAGATACCCATCTTGGCCATGACCTTGCGCATACCTATCCGGGTCAAACATGTGCATGGATCTATGAGCCTATCCGAGTTAAAATTATATGCATGATTATGAGCCTATCCGAGTTAAAATTATATGCATGATTATGAGCCTATCCGAATTAAGATTATATGCATGATTATGAGCCTATCCGAATTAAGATTATATGCATGATTATTACGAGTATATGCACCCACGCGACATACATGCACAACCATTGGTAACACAGGATGTACAATGAAGTCGAGTATGCATGCACGTGTATGTGTGGATGCACGGGTGCGTTTAATGAGAGGCAACAAACCGTAGTTGACAGCAGCCTGGTAGTTCTTCGCAACAGTGTCGTCATCATATTTGGCATCTAGGAGACCCTCGTTTCTGAGGGCCGCCATGGTGTCGAATACCAAATAAGGGCAGACAGCGTCCACTCCAAAACCGAGCAGCAGACAGATCTGGTGCACGACGTTCACCTCTCCTGATTCCAGGATGATGGCTACGTTCAAGCGCTTCTTCTCGCGGACCAGGTACTATTCATGCATAGTAGATTAGCACACTATAAAGTAAGTACACGTGAGGCGGTCGCGCGTAACTCCGACCGTGAGATTGGCGTGTCCTGACGATCAGACAAAATCAAACAAAACGCAACAAATTGTATACACTTAAACATCGAAAACTCGGACACACCTGATGCACCGCTCCAACGGCCAGAGCGGATGGGATGGGCACACGCTCGCGTCCAACCTTGCGATCGGTGAGCACAATGACTTTGTTGCCGTCATTGATAGCATCAACGGCTTCGTCAGAGATGCGCTCCAGAGCATCCATCATGCCCTCAGCACCGGTGCTGTTAGCGTGAGATTGGTGATAGACGATCAGTTGGATGTATAATATATTTTTATTAAGTCGGTTTTGCTGGGAATATGACTGGTGAACTATACGGATAGGTACGCGGATGTGTACTGAATGCACTGTATATACTGCAATAGCCGCAAAGAGCTTCATCACAAATTAATTGGCATACATTGATAGATTGAATTTGCGACCTCGTTCCAACAGTATTGTTTGCCGCTTAAAAAGAAAACACATGCGAAACGCGGGTCAGTCTGAACAAAAAAGACAAAGACTATACAAATGGGCCCATTCCCTCATGAGGAACAAATAAATCCCAAGCACATTGATTTATTATCACTAGAACAGCTACCTGAATAAAAAAGACGTATGCGTTACAACGAAACACTTCAAACACACCTGCGAGCAAAGGTGGTGTCTATCTCAGCCACCTTCCACTGAGATTTCTCCTTGTGGAGACTGCGAATGCACGCGATCTCTTTAAGCGAAAGCACGGGGTTGTCGATGGTCAACCGTTGGCACTGCTCAGCGGCTTCATCCAATACATTGAACTCAGGGCCAATCACCTGCACGAGCGTGTGAAGTATTCCGAAATGAGTTTAATAGGAAAGTCCAGATACAATCCGAGACAAATGTGTACTTCGTTGCCAGCTAAAATTGCCATAAAATACCAAACTTACAAAGTATCTACAACGAGATATAATCAGTGACTTTCAATGGGTCCATACATACCTGACGCAGAGACATGATGATGGATTCACGGAAGGGATCAATAGGGGGGTTGGTTACTTGAGCAAACAATTGCTTGAAGTACTCGTGTATCAGGCGCGGCTTCTTACTGAGCACAGCCAAGGGAGCATCGTTACCCATAGATCCCAGAGCCTCCTTCCTAAGCTCAATCATGGGCTGTTAATTGATTATCGGAAGAAACAACCGAAATACGCAATTAATATGGGTTCATGAACGTTGGTGCGTATATATCCCGCGAATACACTCTAAGCCAACCGAAAATGTAAGTAACGAGAACAGCTAACGTCGGACATTCACAGTAAACATGCAGGGCACACACCTTGACCAGCATGTTGATGTGCTCCAGAGTCCACCCGAAAGCAGGCAACCGGCGGTCGAACAACACGCCCTTCTGAGCCTGTACTTCGTGCGGCTTGCTGGAGAGCAATGCCATCTCTGTGATGTTCACCGAGTTCGTGTCCAACCAGTTCTGGTAGTCGTGCTTGTTACTCACTTCGGCCTTAAGCTGGCTATCATCGACAAGAGTGTGCTCGAGTGTGTCGACGAGAAGCATCTTTCCAGGTTGTAGACGTCCCTTGCTCTTGATCTGTTGGACAACGTTTCAATAGGATAAAGGCAGATATTGTCAGTTTTCATATATAACATCTCTAGGCAACGAGGTATACGGAAGGAATCGCTGTATAATCCACGACATCGTACGTAGTTTAATATTCAATGCACTACTATATCACTCGCCAAGTAATTGGAGGACTCAAGATAAAACAATGCAAATCTTGACATATGACTCCAGGATTACATACATATAATCCTAGCCTCTTAACATCAACAGTTTAAACGTGAAACACACAGATGTTTACAAAGCCCCAACTTACCGCTCCAAGAGGCACGTCCAGTACACCGACTTCACTGGCCATAATCATTCGATTGTCGTCGGTGATGTAGTAACGAGCTGGGCGCAGACCGTTACGATCCAAAGTGGCACCAATATACCTACCATCGGTGAATGTGAATAGAGCGGGTCCATCCCAAGCCTCCATAACGAAGGAGCTGTTGGTAACAAAATGGCGGGACAATTTTAGTCGGATGCATTTCGCTAGAATTCTCTGTATCTATGGAATACATTTACTATCAACAACCATCTAAAACTAACTAAGTTGATTCAAGCGCACAAAACAGTAAGTACACTTGAAACATACTATGTACGCTACATCTGTACATATATTAACATGCCTAATTTATAATATACATGCATACGCACAAACACGCATGTATATTAAACATACCAGTACTCGTAGAAAGCGCGCTTCTTCGGTGTCATGTTGACATCGTTCTGCCACGCCTCGGGCACCATCATCATCATAACCTCGGGAAGCGTACGCTTACCGTCCATAACCATAAACTCCAATACATTATCAAATGCAGCAGAATCGGAACCAGCGGTCTCGATGATTGGGTACAGACTCTCGGTAAGGTCACCAAACTGCTCGGACTTCAGCATACCCTCTCGAGCACGCATCCAGTTCTTGTTTCCTCTGAGTGTGTTGATTTCGCCATTGTGACCTAGGAGACGGAAAGGCTGTGCCCTTGACCAACTGGGGAAGGTGTTGGTGGAGAAACGCGAGTGTACTAGCGCCATGTGCGACTTGAACTCCGGATTTGAAAGATCCTTGAAGTAAGGTCCAACCTATTAAGTGTAAGTGTTATTTTTTACTTGTTAGCTCACCAATAAAAAGACTTGGTTAAATCGTTGCCTATGTCAACATAAAAAGAGCATGGTGCTCGTCGTGCGTTCGGACGGACGCACATTACACAATAGTTGAATCGAACTGAATACAAGGACCGCATCAGTGCAATACCAAGGCATATACATGAAGTGCAATCTACATACCTGATATGCCGACAATTGACCCTTGTAAATTAGGGTTCCAGTGCTTAGAGAACAGATGTAGAAACTTTTCTCTGCCTTGGGAAGACTCTTCTCCAGACGCTTACGAAGCGTGTATGCAAGACGGTCTAGATCCAGCCCCTTCAGGGATGAATCCTTTGATTTGATATAAACCTGATAAAAAGGTAAAATGTTTGAAAAGATATAACCTAAACCTCCAGAAGATGACCTACCTCTTTCAACAACTGAAATTATGGTCGCTTATTTAACTAAACTTGCTGATAAAATACAAGTGTAATAGCTTGGCGAAACCGCAAGTCTCGGGTATTCTACCCGCATCGTAACTTCCCTGAGAAAAAGAATGAAAACTAGTTCTAAACCCTTTCTAACCTACGTGATGCTCAAGCACCTAAAACAACAGAAATCAGCGAAAGATATTGACCTATTTACAAAATTGGACTATACAACTCGCGTATCGAACTAGTATGGCCACCTTACTTATCAAAATATACACACCTGCTCGATGGAGGGTTCAGTGGCCAGTGCAGAGGGACCCACTTGTGAGTTGTCCACCTCAATCACACGCCAGCCCAATACCTCTAGACCCAGCTTTACAGCTGTAGAGGTGAAAACGGACCTACATTCCTCCTTAAGCGCCTCGGATTTCTGTAGAGGTAGTATACGATACAAAGGTCAGTCAAAAGCTTGCAAAGAAGTGTACCAGCACATGTGTTGAAAGGATACTAGTTTTAGTAACCAATAAATTGTTGGCAGTTTGAAGTCAAATCTAAGCAGCAAAGCAAGCGCCCGGTGGCAAGCCAAATACAACAAGCGAACCAACCGCAAAATCGAACGTCATGTACAACAAGCGTAGCACACCCTAGAATTCTCAGTCTATTTTAAAGCGTTTAACCAGACGTTAAAATGTTAATTGCGATCACAAGCCGTTAAATTGTTAGGTCTGTTTAACCTGCGATCATTGGCATTCTACTGTCTATTTCTTGCAGTTTGAATTTTTAACAGCAATCACTAGACGCTAAGGATGCTAGTTTATTTAACCTGCGATATCTAGCACGGAATTGCTTACGTTAACAACATAAAACCTTGAATTATATCCAGAGACTGAATGATGGACTAGCTATATTGCACAGGCATGGCGAAGCCATGAGAATCATATAGCATTGCGGCAATACTTACCTTACTGAAGAAGATGTTTCCAGCAGCATAGTATCCAGGAGCAGGCAGTGTGATGCCCGATTTGGTGACCATGTGCGTCAAAAACTCATGAGGCATACCAGTAAGGATACCAGCTCCATCTCCAGTGTTTTCTTCGCAGCCACATGCACCTCTGTGGAACATGCGTGCAAGAATAACTAGCGCATCCTGCACATTCGCGTGTGTTGCCTTGCCGTCTATGTTGGTTACAAAACCTACACCACAGCCATCCTTCTCGTTGTCCGGGTTGTAAAGACCATCCTTTTTGGGATATGCCTCAAAACCGTTCTCGTGCTCTACTCCACAGCAGTGAGTGTACTGCTTGGGTTCGACATTTGCATTGATTCTGTTAGCGTTAGGTGCCATAGTAAAAGATTTGTAAGAGAAGGTCACTGCCAACGTCCAACAAAGTAAATTGATATGTTTATCTGAACAGAAGTTTATATATCACTTCCTGACGATAGATTTAAAATTGCAACGTGTTCAGCTCGTAAGTGGCAAAACTCGTTTTGTATTATAGGTAAATACTTTAGCTTCGTAAGAGGTAGAGTGGCAGGATTTTAGTGCCGCTGTAAACATTTATTATGAACATTTTCGGACAGAGAGTAAAAAAATACTCCATGACTTTATGGACGCGCTGTCATACGTCTGACTCTCTCGATACTCTCGGGTCCTGAGTCCTGAAGACCTGAGCCCTGAATCCTGATCCTGGTCCTGAGACTAGACTTCTCATAAATACCAGCAGTAGAGAACGAGACGTACTAATATAGATAGATAGAGAGAGCCTGTGGCGAGTGTGGAGTATGGACTGTGGACTGTGGACTGTGGACTGTGGACTGTGGACTGTGGACTGTGGACTGTGGACTGTGGACCTGGACTGGGGGTATGGGCCCTGGAGGGCGGAGAACTGGAGGAATTATCATTTTTGGCTTTTTTTTTACTTTCATGATCTTTGATGACAATCAGGTAAATATATGTGATGACACTTTTGGTAGAAAAGCGCATGATGTCCACAGTCCAATATCCAAAATAACTCCTCTTTTCTTTAAAAAAAAATACTCTCCTAGAGAGAAAGAGAATTTGAGAAATAAACTAATAAAGACACAGGCCATAGAGGGGCAAACACCACCCTGTGCGACACTAAATAAACAGCTGGGATCCAGTGTAATGCGCTGTTGACTATATAGTATGTACACCGTAGAGTGTATTTATTTCTAATTACATACAGTGGAGTGAATAATAGTGACTACAGTCAGCCCGAAATGTTACAGTCACACTGTCTCAGCGACTCTCAGGCACTCAGCCCTGCTCAGCCTTACAGTTATTTACAGCCTCACAGTCTCAGTTGTTGGTTTGAATTTAGCGGTCTTTTAGTCGTTTATTTTTTTTTGAAAATATAGGAATAGGCTATACACCTATTTTGAGACACGTTTTAAAAAAATATAAAATTTATTATTTCTAAAGAATTGTGTCAAAAAATATTATCACATGTAATTTCCCAACGCGTGTTGGGCATGAATGTCAAACAACAATTTCTAAACTAGTAAACGACAGGGATATTTAAAAATACTAGATAACTTAAATACCAAATGCTACCTTGTATTATCCCATTCTATATATTAAGATTAATATGATACACAACTTTCTGGTCTTTTATTCTCTATCTGATCTCTTATTTTATCATTCTAACAGGCCGCATAGGCCTGGTATTTCAAATGTTTCAAATAAAATAATTTAATATACTACAGAGTTACAGACAATATACCACATGTCATCATCAAAATCATATAAAATTGCAGAAAACGTGATATAGAATTAAATTTCATTCGTCAATGACAATATTTCTATTCTACGAATCTATTGGACAGAAAATCAACTATTTTTTCTATCACATGCTAATTGAGAAAAGTGTATTCAGCCAATCCATATTGAGAAATAGTGACTCAGCAACAAATCTTATATGTCATCACATGCTTTGTTCCACTTTTGGTTTAACGTGGTGTCATGGACTCGGTGGGTGAGGTGAGAGCAGGAGACAGCAGGTATACGCCTCCACGGTAAATACAAATCGTGCCCATGACTGTTTTTCAAAAAGCAATTTATTGCTCAATATATATATTAAAAAATTATCGATGAAATTCATTTTTGCCAACGATGAAATGAAGAATAATAGTTTGCACCAATAACTATTAGCAAAAAAAATATATCAAAACCACGGCGTGTGTAGCAACGACCGCTCGACGCACATTTTTTTCAAATGTCTAATATCATCTTTTTTTAAACCTAATAAATACATCGCCTTCAAACTTCAAAGGCTTCAATTGGACCATAAAACCAAATTGGAAACCCCCCTCCCCCAACCAAGCAGACCCACGTCCCACACTCTCAGACCAGAGGGAGACACAAAACGATTTCCTCTCTACTATTGTACTAGCATTTTTATTTTTTTTAAGTTAGTATATCAAAGCCTACAAAACACAGAAGCCAGGCATCCTTTCTATTTTTATATTCTGGCCATACATTTTTGGGAGACACATGAATTTCGTCAAGGTTATTTTAGAAGGCTATGAATGAATTATAAAACTATTGCCTTGGAATCTTGGATATCCTTTTTTTTTTTTAAATAGAAGTCTGCATATATGAGAAAAAAATTTAAATAGATGAAAACAGATGGAAAAAAATATTTGTTTTTTTTTAATATCTGAAAACGGCTTTCAAATCTAACTATTTGTTATAAAAAAACTCAGATTCAGTTAACAGATATCTTTTTTAGAAAACAAAAGTCTAAATAGAAAATACTACCTGAAGTCCAAATGTCCCCCCAGAGTTCAGAATTTCGGACGAGCACAATTTCGGACTAAATAGTCCGGACAATATCTTTTTCTTTACCTCTAACGAGCTATTTTAGCTTGTCCAAAAATATCTGACCATGACCCTCTGGAAGCCTGTCCCGGGCTCACGGGTGATTTCAAATTGATTTTCTACTCCCCTTGGGAATGGGGCTTGGATGAAAAGATGTGTAACCACACTTCTTGCAAGGCGCTCTCACCTTCTTTTCACCTTTCGGTTCGGTAGAAGTAGAGCCAGTACCCCCTCCAGTAGTAGTGCGAGGTTTCTTAGTACTACGCGCAGTCTGAGTTTTTTGGGTTATTTTTAAACTCAAAATGAAAACCCAGCGAGACTTCCAGAGGTTCATGATCCTAAAGGACTTGTCCGTTCTCCCTTAATTCTACTTTTTCTAATGATGGTCATGTTCACATGAATGACGCTACTTACTATTTGGGGAGGGGGGGGTAGGAACTTGGATACCGGAAAAATTGGGCGTATTTAGCTAAAAAATCAAGAGGTATTCACGTTACAGTCAAACCTCCGTTTTTCTCTACCTCTTCTATTGTTCACCTCCTTTTTTGTCCAATTTTTATATACTGGGACTCGAAATTTGTTTGCAGAATTGCAGTATGTACCAGAATACTGATGTGTAAATTCACGTATGGCTTGCCACACTCTCAAAGAAGTGATATAGCATATATTTATATGATAACCTATAAATGAAGTACAATATGTAATGTGTATAAATAACAATAGCGGCAATACTTGCCTGTTAGGTACGAAAATTCAGTGCATGCGTTATGTGGTGTTGGTTTGGGTGCGGGATACAGTAGTTCATGAGACACCACCGAAGTGGGCTCTCAGAGATATTTTCTACCAAGTTGTAATTGTTTATGGCCAACAACTGAGTCAACGCATGCATCATCAATGGAAACACGAATTAAAGTAAAGTCGATGCTTGAACGCTTTATAAAAAGAAGCATTTAAAATATGCGTATGTACGTTACTGTACCAGGATATGTACTTTTAGAGAGCTATATGACCCTCAGGCACCAAACCCTATTTTTGTGTACCTCAATTTTGTCCAAATTTAGGCCTGAAATGGATCCTGGACAAAATAAAGAAGGTATTTTTAGTAACTTTTCTACACGTGCGTCTGTATTTAGAATATTTGTCCTGAGGCTACTATGGGTGAGTGTGAAGCATTATATCTTAATGATCATCCCTCGATTCATTATGAATATAAACATGCATCACAACAGGATTTCCTGATGTATGCCATGTGTGGATGAAGCTTGTAAGTAGGATAGCAAATAGAGTAATAGATGATGAGCTTGTAGGCATTGATCTATCAGTTTATAACAATCGATTCGGGGGTAAATACAAAAGGTCCAGAGGTAAAAACACCAGACAGTATTAGCCGATAATGATGTCTCTGTGACAGTGGAAAACTGTAATGTACGTGTTACATGGCGAAGACAACGAGAGTTGAGATTTGCTGAGCAGATGTGGATGTGAAAATAGCCCGGGTGCTCAAATATATGCGACAGACTTCAAGCAGAGGGCATTCTCATGACTTGCCGTAGCTCCAGAATTTGCTGACAGTTTCCGACGAACTTTCGAAAGAAAAAAGCGTGAATATAGCTGATACATAGCCAACATTATGTGTGCAAATAATTTACTTTTCAAACCCTTGTCAGCCAACTACATGTATTTGTCTATGCCCTTAAATGGGGTAGATAGCACGCGACAGTTTATACATTTTTTATGACGCCGGGGACTTCTATAGATAGTTATAAAGCATACACGTGGCCAATTATTTTTGTTTCATAAACTGGAATAAATCTAAACCGAATTAGAGAGTGATAGGAGCAAAACTATATAGACAGTCTCAGAGTAAAAGCCCCTTTATTTTACAGCCTGGCTAGACTGACTTTACAATTATTTCAACTATAGGACTTATAATTTTAATCTACAAAATACTGATATGGCATACTTCGATTTAAGGTTTACAAATAAAGTGGTCTTTCACTTGATTCTGATATTCACACCTGTCCATTTGCCGCCAAAATCAGATTCCTCATTTTGAGCTATATATAATTTATGATTACCAATGGACCAACGAACCTGTACCACTATGATACCCAAGAGACAAAACAGATGTGAGAGAAAGATTTTGCATCCAAGAAGGATCCGTTGATTGTAAATATGGTATAAAGACGTCAAATTAGGGATTGCTGACTGTTTATTCTTAACTATTTCTAAAGTGTACCCAAGCATTTCATTAATTCGTCATTGCACCCGACTAAATTTTCTATTCATTGCATCAGGGGCTATTCTCGTATAACTTTCAATATGTATGCATTTTGGGCGCTGTGAACCCTATATTAGCACAGTCGTGTGTTGATAGTCCGGCACCACGGCGATACTTCATATACGCTTTTCTTCTGAGCCCACTCGTAGCGCTTGATCAGGCTAATTTTGAAAATTTTTGCATTTGTGATACACTTGAGATGCAAATTGTTTAATATTTGAGTGTGCAACCCCCATGTCTTTTGCAATCTTGCTCGGTCATCGCGTTATCCATGTGCTTAAGATCTTAACAGTTTTCGAACAGCTGCCTCGGTTGATTCTGTTATGACTCATTTACTAAAAACCCTATAAGACCACAATATATTACGGTTCATATTTTAGCCGAATAATTGTAATAATATCTTAAAAGGGCACATGGTAATTACTATACTGTATAGCCAATATGTAATAATAAAGTTACTTCGTTAAGCAAATATTTATTGCAACAGACTATGGGCCCATATCGAATATATATTATCTTATACCCTATATACATACCTTAATTTTACACCCCTGATCCTTTGATCACACTTCCTCTCTCTGATCTCACCACCTCTGATCTCACCACCTCTGATCTCACCACCTCTGATCTCACCACCTCTGATCTCACCACCTCTGATCTCACCACCTCTGATCTCACCACCTCTGATCTCACCACCTTTGATCCTCTGATATCACCATATCTGCTCCTCCAATTCCTTCTCACACATCACCATGAGTCAACTTCCGCCCACGGGCCAAACCCCTATCACTACCTTTTCGTCTTTTGAGGGCGCCCAACGTTTCGAACGTGACTTCTTCTCAACACTCCAGCCATACACCAATATCTCCCACGCCAATCATCACATCCAGCTTACCCGCACCATTCTATCTGCTGTTCTTGACACCAACGACAACCCTCACGTCAACAACACCGCCATATACTTAGGTACACACGCTGCATTCTCTGAACTCGATGCCATATCCGCTATCACTGACCTCAACAACTCTCACAGGGCCAACACTGATGCACAATCCGACCTCGCCCGTATTCGACGTGACCGCGCCAACTTATCCACTAATCTCGACACCATCCGCAATGCATCTGCCAAACATTCTGACTCCATTGCTGCTCTCAACGCCGATATTGCACGCCTTCGTCACGAGCGCCATACAATCCTCACCGAATGTAACACTGCTAATACTGCCCGCGATTTAGCTCGAGCTGACCACGACCAACACACCATCGAACCCAACTCTCTAGCTAATGACCTCGATCACATCCGCAACGAACGAGGCACGCTCATCACTGAGCGCGATCAGCTTGTCACCGAACTTGATTGCATTTGCTCCGAACGAGCTACCCTCATCACTGAACGCACTCAGGCGCAATCTAATTACAATGACATCGTCCTCGAACGTGATAACGTTCATCGAGATCTTACCCGCATACAAGACATCAATACCAACACAACCACCGAACACACCACATTGCAAAACGACCTCGCCCGTATCCGTCATGAACGTGACACATACTTCGAGGAATGTAAAAATGCCCAATTCAAACTCATTCAAGCACAGGAACAATCCACTACATCCCCTGACACTCACCTTGAAGCTACCCACGCCGCACTCCGTAGAACTCCCGCCCTTGCTTATTGCGCACTGACCGCAACGCACAACGTGCCAACCTCATCCAACAACAACACGAACATGCACGACTTCTACAGGAGGCCCTCACCGAAAACGAAGACCTCACCACTGCCGCCACACAGCTTCATGACAAACTCGCCACCCTTTAAGCGGAAATTGCTGCCTCTGATCCCCATAGCCTCCGTCAACAGCTACAAGTAGCCCAAAGAAAGATTCTTAAGCTTGAACAATGCTCCCCATCTACCCGCTTGTCAACCCCGCCCCAAAATCGCTCAGACTCTCCTCTCCTTGGCACTCCCCGCCACGACTCCCATCAAATATCCAACATCCGTGACGTTCGCATCAGCACCGGCATACCCCTCAAGTATTTCAGTAGTCATCCATTTCACCAACTGGCATCGTCAACTCAAACATATCCTTAAGAAACACAACGTCCTTCACATTCTGCGCCCTGCCTCCACTGCCGACTCATCCGAAACGACCGTTGGCACCAACTTACTTCGACCGAGACCCCCACGCATTCTATCGCCGCCTTTGTGACGACTTCAACTCCATCACCATCGGCCACATATGGGAACTCCTCGTTCAACTCATCACCCTCCCCAAGCAACCCTCCCTAAATGACAGCATTACCAAAGTCAACCTCCTTTGGGATCAGCTCAAAGGCCACCATGCTGACACAGCCGAACTTTCTAATGTGTACAGCCTACTGCAGTCTCTTCCTGGCGGATTCGACATCATCGCCCAGAACAGTGTGGGTACAACTGATCACATATACACCCTTGACACCATTATTACTAAAATACGCAATTACTCCACCAATAGCAAATCCATTTTAAGTACCAGCAGCATCTATGGCGTCGCCAGTGTCTCCTACCACACCCCTGCCCCTACCCCTACCTAACGTCCCCAACGTGTCCCACTCGGTAAAGACCCCTCCAGCAACTGCTTAGCTTGCCAGAAGCCTGGCCATGGCGCCTATGACTGTCCTTCCACCAACTGTCGCCGCTGCTTGGACTCCTCCCACACCGGTTCCCAATATACTCTCCCAGGTCCCCTCAAGTGCAACTACTGCCGCAATTACACTGCCACCGCATGTCGCCGTTCGTGAAGCCACGGAATTTCTCACGCAGCCACATCTCCACCACCAGTCCCCCACCCACCCGACCCCATCATCGAACCGGTGCGCTACCATGTGAACACCTTTATACTCCGTGCCGAACCCAACCACCAACCTGTCAACGCCACTGCTCTTATCGAATCCGGCGCCGACATTTCAATCGTCACCTTCGCTGACGCACTTCTCCACGTCGAACATTGTCAATTCGTCATTGAGCTCGCGGGCGGCTCCTTCGTCACCGCGCCTGCCCGTGGCACCATCAATGGCCTCGGCCCTGCCCTCGTCCTCCCCGACGCCAGCCAGCCTACCCTCTCTGTACGCAATATGCAACGCAACGGTTACACTTTCTCCTTTCCCAAAATCCCTACTCCCGACAGCCTCGCCCAATGCCTTATCACACACGATGGTACCACCGTCAAAGTCCTTGATGAATCTGCCGGGCGCTACAACCTGAATGCTTTCCAGGCTGACAGTCTCCACATCCATCATGCCCGCTTTGGCCACCGATCCATCCGCACAACTAAAGCCATCGCCCATACCCACAACATCCCCATCCCTCCGCCGCTGACATACTACGACGACTACCAACTTCACCTCGCACTGTTTGACAAACACGTCGCACAGGTCTTCAGCCCCGTTGACATCGACATGTTCGCTACTAAGTACAACCACCAAGTCCCTACCTACTGCATCCTTGACCACACAGACAAAGCCACTTCCCTTCACGACGCATACACACAGCACTGGCGCCAGTCCACCAAGCGCCTCTATGGCAACCTTCCTTGGAAAGACTTCCCACACGGTAACGCCAAGTTCGAACGCGACCACGTAATACCCGGGCCTCCACATTAGACTCTATGTTATAAAAGTACTCTTAAGCAGTACGAGGAACTTAAGTTTCCTAAATGGTTTTTAATGGTTTTATTAATTAATACCTTTTCCATTTTACATATCAAATATTTGGACGAGGCCATTAAAAGGCTCCAGTAAAATACCAAACATAAGAGTTGGTTTAGTTCTATTAATAGAACTATATTTACTTTCCAACTTTATTTATATCTGAATACTTCGGTAGCGAGATGCCTTAACCGAATATAGGTTTCTAGGGACTATTAACGTTACCTAGTTGATCCTCCGATCAGCCAACCAGATGTGCCAGTCTGATGAAGGCTAAGTCGGTAATTTCTGATAAGTGGCAAGTTATTGGTTAAGACAATAACTAAGGACATCAAGAGTATTTTTCTTTTCTTCTAAAGCTAGGATTTTATGAGTCTCTCGGATTCGCCCCAATGAAACATACCATAGTTTCTAATAGAGCGACAACGAAAAACTAAATAAAATCCCTTCGGCGAAAACAGTACTGAGAGGATTATATATAGGCAATGTCTCAGCCTCACAATCCCTCAGAGTATTGCTGTTTTCACGAGGCATACCTAACTTTACTAAAAGTCTTATTTCGTTTATTTACTTTGATATTTTCACGATACTTAGAATTTACCTACGTGTTTATTTACTCTAAGGCGTTAATATCGCCGTAATAGACCGAATCTTACACATTTTAAAGTTAGCAAAGGTATTAATTACTTAGACTACTTAAGCGTTAAGGTAGATTAACTACCACACAAAAAATCTAGTAGTCATAAGTTAAGATTATGACCAAGAAAGACAATACTCCTTTTAAAAAGCGTAGAGCTGAAAAGAAGAAGATGGAGAGAGAAGCCGCTAGCGCTGCCGCAGAAGCAACCGCTGCCGCTGCTAAGAAGTGATACAAGGGACACGTCTCAAGACGCCCCAACCCATTCGTCTGACAAAATTCAGAAAGAAAAGTTCACAATTGTAAGGGAGTCCCCAATTATAAGGGACAAGGACAAATCTCAGAAGGAACCTATAATGGAACCAGAGGAAGAGGCAAGCTCAAGTGGCAACCCCGAATCTACGTCTAAGACTACTAAGCTAACGCGCATAAGTAAGTTAGATACTGAAAACACTGATCTTAAGAATAAGTTAGCTACCCTTAAGAAAGACTTGACTGTTGAACATGTAGATCGATTGTAAACATCAGGAAAACATACACAGGACTTACCGCCACTTTTACCCAATTGGGATGACAAACGTCGGAAACCAGTTAAGACTGGGTATGTTATCCAAACGCATGAATCACCCAAGATTATAATACCAACCACTATCCGAGGAACAGCGCACCGAAAGGCCTCGACTATGGCCTTTACAAGGGGTAATAAACACCCCCGTAGACGTGTTAACGAAGTTGAATTTAATCGCTTCGATCGCACAGCACTACATCAACTCGCAGCGGATTTTCGCTCTGACGAGGTGACCGAACTTAACAAATCGGTCGACGATTATACCATTAAAATGGAAATCGCCCACGATGCGCATCATGCTGAGGATGTATCATATTTTGCTAATATGATAGCGATTAAGCAAACGCGCATCGATCAGCTACTTCAGGCCCAACGTGGACAAGACTACAAGGATAACCAGAAGTACAAAGGACAGATCAGTCGACTTAAGTAGAACTGGGATGCCAACAGTAAGCAAGTCGAGTTTATAAACAGCCATGACCTCGACACGCTAACCCGTACGCTTAATGCGTTTACGGTCATGCTGGAGACGAATGATATCGCTCTCCAGCAAAGGATATCTGCTTTAATGCAGACGTTTGACCCTACAGGTACAAGTTATTTGATCCTGCAGCGACACCAACATGAGCTAGACACTTGTCGTGACTGGCCAGCTGTATGTTGGTTGGCTACATCCTTGTTAAGTAAGGACATGCGTAACCCAGGACTGAGTTCAATTTTAACTGAACCAGTTGAGAACACGCCCATTCAGAGATATATTCTGAAGCTAGATGCTGACCTGAAACGTCCAGATATAACAAAGGACAAGGCACGGTGATGGTACGAGTCCCTGGTTATGCACGTGTTCTGTAAAAACATAGGAAATAACGACCGTGAGAGCCTGTACACCGAGTTGCGACGTAAACACGCGACTGAGGCTCGAGACAAGGGACATGAAACAAAGTTTCATCTATCCCGACTTACGTGGGAACAGTTTTATGATACTGTATCCACCCTTTTCCCCGCACACCGAGTAGCATCGAAGGGAAAAGTGGCTGTTAAGAAGCCGCGGGAGCACACCGATCACGGATACGTATCCAGGTAGACCTCTAACGAGAGACCCCAACATACACGTGCTCGCGACTCCACTCTATCCACGCGACCCAATAAACGGGCACGCGCGGAGGCGAGGGACAAGGAACCTCCATTTAAAGAGATTAAGAAATGTGCCGATGCACAGTGTGGGTATGACATGTACCAAATAACCCCTAACGGATATTGGAATGGTAGACATGCATCCATCTGTACACACTTTCTTATTAAGTGCGACAAGTGTGAGAAGACAAATGGCTATCACACTAAGTCTTGTGACAAAGAGCCCAACATTAAGGTGGAGTGAAGGTACTACCAGGTACAATCGTTACACAGATAATACAACGACTCTTTAGATGAGCATGTAATAATCCCTGTATACTGCAATGGAAATAAAATCCTTGCGTTGATTGATCCTGGTTCAGAAATTTCATGTATATCCGATCGCTTTGCATTAATGAAAGATATCGAAAGGAGAACACAAACAACTCACCTCATTTTAGTTGATGATAAAACTTCTAAGTGTGATACCATGGCCACATATGTTAAAATTTCCCTGGCCGATGATAGGATCATCACTACCCAAGCTGTAATAGTTAAGATGTCACAGAAGTACGACAATATAGTCGGAATGAGCGATTTACTCACTCTAGGTATAACCGTAGCTGGTCTACCAAATAACATAGATCCATTAAAGGATCAGTCAGACAATAACTGTCTGAATTCATATAAGCCCCCGTCATACACAGTCAAGGCATTAACACCTGACTTTGCGAACAAAATCATGGATCTGATTCTAGTAAATAAGAAGATAAAGATCACAGATTGAGCAAAATTACGTTTTAACGACGGGTATGTCAGCCTTGACTTAACCAAGGTGGACTTTACACAGTTAAAGTGTCCCTCAAGGAACTATGTATCCTGGAGACACGAGGCTGTGGTAATAGAACAAGTTGAGAAATGGCTAGCAGATGGAGTTTTTGGCACTGCTAGCCGTAGACCAACATAACTCTGACGGATCGTTTAAGAAAGTCAGGGTATATTTAAATATGAGTCCAATAAAAATTATATTGCCGACTCATAGCTTTCACTTACCTCGTATTATCGAGCTACTGCGAAGGGTGGAAGGTGCTACAGTATTTACAACTATAGACCTTACACAAGGAAACCATCAAATGCAGGTATATGAACCACATCGTAAATACTTTAGTTTTACGTGGAAAGGTGAACAATACAGGTTCAGAGGTACACCTTTCGGGTTACACTCTTTACCAGCATTCTTCCAACAAGTAATGGAAGAAATGTTTGCAGACTTGCCTAACTTGCAAGTTTACATAGATGACATAGTCATCTTTTCCAAAACTAATGGTGAACACGCCGCATTAGTCAGACGAGTCCTTTAGAGACTCAACGAGCAAAACTTCAAGATTAACGAGAAGAAATATCACTTCGCTATGAGCGAAATACAGCTCTTAGGCTACCGATTATCTGGGGAAGGTATTAAAATCGACCCCGGTAAGGTAGCACACCTGTTATATTGGCGAACACCAACTACATGAAGAGATGTTAACAGCATGTGTGGGTTTGTAAACTTCTTTTCAGATGAAGCACCACACTTAGCTGACTACCTTAAACCTTTTGGACACTTAAGATGTCATAAAGGCAAACTAGGATACTTGTGGACTAAAGAGTGTGATGACGCATTTAAAGCCCTCAAACACGCAGTCCAGCAAGCACCTGTTGTACAAGGACCAGTCGATGGCGTGCCGTTTGAAATAGCAACGGACGCCTCCGACTTAGCCTTAGGAGAGGAGTATTATATCAGGTTATAGATAACAAACCCAGATATATACAATTCTTTGGTCGAGCAATGAATGCTTCACAGTTGAATTACCCAACAGTTAAACAAGAGCTATTAGCCACAGTGGCAGCTCTAACACACTTCCGATATTACTTATACAGAACAGCATTTACGCTGATGTGTGATCAGAAATCTCTTCAATATATGAAAGAGATGAACCCCGACTCACAATTACTAAGTCGCTGGCATGATACAATATCAAAGTTTCATTTTGATATAAAACATCTGCCAGGAATACATAACCATTTACCGGATATGTTATCACGCTTCGTACCGGACTCTAATAAATCCGTACGTGAGTCACTCGCCACTGACTAGAAATATAATCCCAGGTGGTTTAAACTGGCTCAAAAGATATTTGGGCCACATACCATAGATATGTTTGCTGCACATCATAATGCACAACTATCCAATTACAGGACTTTAAATCATCCTTTGGGAGACACCTTTCAAATAGACCTCTCCAAACATAATGTGTGGGCTAATCCACAATGGCAGTTAATTGCCCAGCTATTAAATTATATTCATATACCTAAAGCTACTATCACGTTGTGTTGCCCATTATGGAGTAAAGATCCATGGCTTAATAAATTGAT